ACTCTTTCTACAAAAATGTTATTTTGGTTATCAATAAAAATATCATTCTGCAAATTTCTACAAAAATGACAATCAAGATTTTATAAATTTATTTTTCTAAAATCTTGGAAAACCATTTTTTAGTGAAAAAAATAACTAAAAAAACCAAAAGCTCCATTTTGTTTGGCTTTACAAATACTAAAAAAATTAAAAACCAAAAACCAAATACTTGAATAATAAACTCAAAATAAAATACAGGCTATCACATAACCTTAGTTTTAAAAAAAATATATCCGATTAATTTTTAGAACAGTTTGGTTTATACACAATTATATGATATTCAATTCGATTTATAATCGAATAAAATAGGATGTGGCAGTGAGAGAACACTTTGCATAGATCTCTTAGAATACTATTCTGAAAAGGAAATTCTGTGGAAGAAAAAAGAAGAAGAAATCTATGCTCTTTGTCATATATAATCTTATCGTCTACGAACCCAATTTATGTTTAATCGATTTATTAGCACCTTGACTGAGTATTTAGATCCTAAGAATCAAGAACATGCTTATAATGATTAGGAGTTTATTTTTTGTAACCATCTAATATGTAAAGGTTTATATAATCTCAATCTTTAACAAATGTATGAGATCTATGAAGAAAAGAAAAAAAAGGTCTTTGCACATGTGAATGTTGGACCTACAATTATGGTGAGGTGTGGTCCTATCTATATAATCTATTTTTTTTTTATTTGTTTTATATTATTATTCTTATTCTTATAACCAAAACAATAATATAATTATTCTCTCTAACTTGCGCTTGCATCAGAAATTGAACTCTGATCGCTCTCGAAATGGAGAACCCTCAACATCTTGCCGGTGGCCAACGACCCATTACTCCTTCCCCGTATATAATAATATATTTTGGCACGACAAACAAACTATATAATATAATTAACAATCGTACTTATGTTATATATAAGTGAAAATCCTATAAAAAAAACTGAAATTTTCAGTTTTGACAAAAAAATCCTGAATTTTTTTATCAAATAAACATTAAACTTTTTAAACGAATCTAAAAAATACTGAACTTTTTAAATTATCTAAAAACATATACGAATTTTTTTACGATTATCAAAAAATACTGCACTTTTTCTGTTATTATAAAAACTAAGTAAAATAATTTGACATATTTGCATATTACTATATCACGTCATTTAGTTTATTTTGATAATCGTAAAAGAGTTAAGTGTCTTAAAAAGTTTAATATTTATTTGATAAAATAAAAAATTCAGTGTTTTTTTATTAAAAATTGAAAGTTAATTTTTTTTTTTTGGGATTTTTTCTATGCATAATAATTTTAATAAACAGTAAAATAAGAACATTGCGTATCTAGTGGAAAAAAGGCAACGATACGTTAGATGGTCTTCAAGAACGAGATGCCAAAACTTCACTTGGCCCCTTTGGAATCTTGGATCAACCTCTTAGTCTTCTATATGTCATGAATTATGATATGATTGCCAACACAAAAGACCCACGTTTTGCGTTTGCGTTTTCGTTTTCCTGTCTTGATCATGTTCCAGTGTCCATAAACTTGGCGTTTTTGAAATAAACGCGTTTGAGAAGGGCAATTACCAAAATAAACCTAATGAAGGGACAGAACAAGAGATGAAGACAAGGAGTTGCATGGTTTTTTATTTTCCGATTGTTTAATATTCCAAAAATGATATTTTTTTCCCCTTTTTTTTTATTCCGTTTACTTCAATGGCTTCGGTATACTATAAAGCAAACCAAAACAAAATGTTAAAAGATAATTTCAACTTGGGTGTTCCGATATTATTATTTTTTTTTCTCACAAACTCCAAGAAGAGGATATAGACTAGAGTTTCACCGTGTGACAAGGACCGCCATGGAAGTAGAGTCCAAGAATCGAATGTCACCGCAAGAACAAGATCAAGATCAAGAACAAGAACAAGATCAAGATCAAGATCAAGAAGGGACGAGAAGAGGGATCGAGCCATGGACAAGGCAGATAACAGTGAGAGGAATTCTCGTGAGCATCGTCATCGGGGTCGTGTTCAGCGTGATAGCCACGAAACTGAATCTGACGACGGGGATCGTGCCGAACCTCAACGGCTCGGCGGCTCTGCTCGCCTTTGTCTGCGTCCGGACATGGACCAAGGTTCTCGAGAAATCAGGGTTTGTCGTGAAACCCTTCACGAGGCAAGAGAACACTATGATCCAGACATCTGCTGTTGCTTGCTACGGCATCGCTGTTGGAGGTTAGACAGTTCTTTTTTTGTCTGATCTTTCTTGGGAAACAAGTAATCGATCATGTTGGTCATACCGTTAACATCATTGAATACTCGGTCATGAGATTTTTTTTAAGTTTTTTAACCAAAAAGTTGCATTCTTTTCGCTTTTTTGCATAAAAAAAACATCCTACGTACTTCAGGTACTTTATGACATTAAAGTTTAGAGACACTGATATGATTAAGCACTTTAGTTAGATTGATTAATCATCAAAAACTCATATACTAAGTTGTGATATTCTTCGTATATATGCTCATGAAATTGATGTATTTAGGGTTCTTCTTCAGGTGGGTTTGCTTCATATCTTCTGGGATTAAACCATAAGACATATGAATTGGCCGGAGCGGACATGGAAGGCAACTCTCTGAAGAGCGTCTGTTTCGTCGGCCTCTTTGTCCTGATTCCTCTTAGAAAGGCGCATCCCTGTCCGTACAAAACATATACAGGTTTATGTCTGCGTGTATGTATTGCTCAGTTACTTTTCATCATTGTTTCGGCAGGTTTTGATTGTGGACCTGAAGTTAACATACCCGAGCGGCTTGGCTACTGCAGTACTCATCAATGGCTTCCACTCACAGGGAGACGCACAGGCCAAGTACAGATACCGCCGAGTTTGCGATCTGATCCTAAAATATAGGAGAAAGTGACTGACTTTTGTTTGTGATCTGTGACAGGAAACAAGTGCGAGGATTCATGAAATATTTCTCGGCGAGTTTCTTGTGGGGATTTTTCCAGTGGTTTTTCTCTGGGAAAGAAGATTGCGGCTTCTCTCAGTTCCCAACCTTCGGCTTGCAGGCTTGGAAACAAACGTAAGCGTCATGAAATTCCTCTGTTTCACGGTAACTTTCCTGTTCGGAACTGAAGAAGAATTGATCTGTTCTGAAAAAAAGTTAGTATTTGCAAGAACAGAAGAGAATCAGTTCTAAATCAAGAACACGAATTCGAGCGAAAACATGGATCGGGACTACAGTTTTGTGTTTATAGGAAGTGCCCAAGGTTTGAATCCTGACCATCAATCATTGTTCTTGCAGATTCTACTTTGATTTCAGCATGACCTTTGTAGGTGCAGGAATGATCTGTTCTCATCTTGTGAATATCTCTCTGCTTCTCGGAGCTGTGCTCTCTTTTGGAGTAATGTGGCCGCTTCTCGATAAGCTCAAAGGAAGTTGGTTCCCCGAAAATCTCGACGAACACAACATGAGGAGCATCTACGGATACAAGGTCTTCTTATCCGTGGCACTCATCCTCGGCGACGGCCTCTACAATTTCGCCAAAATCCTCTGCTTCACAATTGCAAATATCCAATCGAGATTGAAGAACAGGACGAATCTTGAAGTGGGTACCGCTCAAAATCCGTTGAAACGGGAGGAACTGAAGCAAGACGAGAACTTTCTCAGAGAGAAAATACCGATGTGGATCGGAATCTTAGGCTATGTGGGTTTCGCGACCGTGTCAACCATAGCCGTTCCTCTGATATTTCCGCAGCTGAAATGGTACTACGTCATCGTAGCTTACGTCTTTGCGCCGTCTCTCGCCTTCTGCAACGCTTACGGAGCTGGACTTACCGACCAGAACATGGCATATAACTATGGTAAAGTGGCCTTGTTTGTCTTAGCCGCAGTTACAGGAAAAGAGAACGGAGTTGTGGCTGGACTGGCAGGATGCGGTCTGATCAAATCAGTTGTGTCGGTTTCATGCATTCTGATGCAAGATTTCAAGACGGCCCATTTCACGTATACATCTCCCAGAGCGATGTTTCTGAGCCAATTGGTCGGGACCGTCGTAGGATGTCTGGTTACGCCGTTAAGTTTCTTCCTGTTTTACAAGGCTTTCGATATCGGAAACCCTAAGGGCGAATTCAAAGCTCCGTACGCTCTGATATACCGAAACATGGCCATTCTTGGAGTCCAAGGCTTCTCAGCTCTGCCCCTTCACTGCCTCCAGATGTGTTACGGGTTTTTTGCGTTTGCGGTTCTGGTTAACGTCGTCCGAGACTTTGCTCCTCGGAATATCGGGAAATTCATGCCGCTGCCTATCGCGATGGCAGTTCCGTTTCTGGTGGGTGCGTACTTTGCGATCGATATGTGTGTCGGGACACTGATTGTGTTCGTTTGGGAGAAGATGAACAGGAAGAAGGCTGAGGTTATGGTTCCGGCCGTGGCGTCGGGGCTAATCTGCGGCGAAGGATTGTGGACTTTGCCGGAGTCTGTGCTTGCACTCGCCGGAGTAAACCCTCCGATCTGCATGAAGTTCTCGCGTTCTTGAGATTCAGTTCCAAAGTTTTCGTTACTTGCGACACAAGAAACTTAGAATAAAGAGTTTTGTTTTTGCATTGCCTCTAACTCTAGAAGCTATGAATCAACTCCTTGTAATCTGTCTGATTAAGTTATAAAAGTACATGGACATGATATTCACGAATCATCATCATCACTGTGAAGTCGGTATCGAGTTCTCACGGCCACTCCGACGCTCGTTCGTGCAAGAAGAAGAAACGACACCGGAGTTTTAACGAGTTCGGTTACCGAGTTTCCTCGGGCCTACATCTTGGCCGGACGGTGCCGGCGAATCCACTAGAATAGAACGGAAACAACAGAGAAGGGATAACACGCGGTGGCTCTCCACACAAGGTCGGAGGCTCACCGAGAAACACCAAGAGACAGGATACGAGACACTTACCGACCTACTCCGCGACTCACCTTTGGTGACCGCCCCCGGTCAGAAACTTCTCCATCGCCGGGAAACTCCTCCTCCGTCGCGATCTTCCTCTCCTTCCCACGATCGCCTCTGCGATCGCCTTTCTTCTCTCCACCTCGAGCACCGCGCCTCTCTCCGTGTCAAAGTCCCGAAACCCATTAGGGTTTCATTAACCCCCAGGATGAAACGCTGCGTTTCGGGTTAAAACCCGAAACCTCCTTTCCAAAGGGAAGGTTCACTTTCTTCCTACAACGGGCCTTAAGGCCCAACAATCTCCACCTTGGTGGAGAAAGAGAACCGGAAATAAAAACAATAAACACTAGTGGTTCGCCGTTTCCAGCACCGATCGACTTTCGTCGATCCCTCGACTTTCGTCGGAATTTAAAGCGTAACTTACCTGACTTACCTCACTTACCTGATGTCGGAGTTAGTCACATGTCGCTGCCTTTGAACTTGATGAAGCTCCCGTCGATGACTCCTCGTGGCTTCGTCGCCTTATCCCGCCACCGACCTGCTTTTCTTTACCTGAAACACTTGGTAAACGTGTTAGAACGTTCACCCCGATAGGACTCGAACCGTAGTCCTATCCCGCGTCGCCCGACCGGCGAACGCTACCCTCGGTTGTATGACTCCCTAGACCGTCTAATTAACCCTCCTAGTAAAGTCTAAGACTATACCCGCTAGCTAACCCGAGGATTACACCCGACGTCTACCCGTCTCCTAAGTCTATCCCGACTTTCCCGAGACTAACCTGAGTCATACCACCGAACCTGCTAGATACCTAGCACAGGATCCCCGTAGAGTCTACACTACCTATGAGTATGCGACTTCTACCCTCGGACCCTAACCTGCCAACTAAGATTGTCCCACGGTTTTGTCCCGTGAAGACTCTCCTAGTCATCTACGATGCTCCACCGAGAATAAGAGACACGTGAGTGCACGTGCTCCACCTCGAGAGGGAGTGTCCTAGCGCCAACCTACACCGTCTCTACCCGGTGAAATCCCGACACCTCCCAGCTCACACCATCTCCTGAGCATCCTACCCGAGGAAGCTCCACCTAAATGTGGAGACCTCACCTCCTGACCTACCACCGAGAACCGAAGCATCTTCGGTTACTCCTCCGAGGTCAAAATGTCCTTCTACCTCGGACTCTCCCTACCTCGTCATCCGGGACCTACAACACCTTCTTGTAGTGTCCCTACCTACCCGCGGAACAACTCACTCCACCTGGTCCTTGGCCTACTCCTGCACCCGATTTCTCGGGTTTGCCGGAGACCCCTAGTCCTTCCACTATACCCCCTTTCGGGGTATACCAAGCTAGAATATCTAGCTCCATCATCCTAAGACGATAAAACCTGAGTCTAAAACCGACTCAACCCGGAAGTGACTTACCCGACCCTAGAAGTGATGTAACATGACACGAGGGATGAGACCGAACCCTAGAGGACTTAACCCTAGGTATATTTCTACCTAGCCGTGCTTAAACACGCTCCAACCCTAGTCTATCGGTCCTAAACCTAGGTACGTCTCTACCTAATCAGACCTACAAGACCTAGAGAACACGACCTGACCGGACTTAACCTAGGCACTCAATCTAAACCGATCTAGTGGACCTTAAACCAAGTCTAACCGGACATCTCCCTAGGTACATCTTACCTAAACGGATCTAACACACTCTAGACCAGACCTGATTGGACTTAACACAAGGTATATTTCTACCTAACCGACCTCCTAGACTCTCGCACAAACCTGATTGGACTTACCCTAGGCATAATTTTGCCTAACCGACCTATTAGGCTTGAAACATAACCTACCTTAAGACCTGATTATGTCTAACCAGATCTAACTTAAGGCTAACCGGACCTGATTACGTCTAATCAGACCTACAACACCGAGTCTACATGGCCCCCAACAAAGTCCTAACCAGTCCTACGATCCCGAGTCTACCCGGCCCCTCA